AACTGTCTGACCAGGTTAGGACTTCAGCAGCAGACAATATGAGTGAGTATGTGGAGTCTTCTAGATTGGGTTGCCAATTTGACAGCTGCTCAGCGGTCATCTTGAACCTGGACTTGCTGTTGCAGTAATGCTTGAAAGAAGGGATGTCCCATCAAATGTCCCATCAAGGTCTTTTTAAAGTAGCAGCACCTGAACAACTGAGAGGTTACTAAGCCAGCTGGTTACCGGTTTAACCGGGTTAGAGAACGTGGTAAGGCTTGCGGTTTAGAAGTAAGTTTACTTACTTTAAAGTAAGCTTTAGCCATTGAAGGTTAATAATTACCATCTTACAGTAGCTATCACTAGACTTGATATGTTTATTAACCATTAAGTGCTGCTCCTAGAAAAGGAGCACAAGCACCACTTGTTTTAACTTTCGCTTCACTTCCTTAAATGTTTCCCTACTTGGTTCACACTGGCACACCACTGTTGCTCAATCTTCTTGCAGCTCAGAGAAGGAAGTCAGCGGTCACTTGTACCAGGAGCACCACCATACTCCTCTCCTTGAGAGCTCCCTCTCATTTTTTTGTGAAATGATTTGCTTGAATTCCTCCCCTATTAGCCTCTTGCTAACCAATCTATTGGTGATGGACTGGATTGTGAGAGGATGTCATTTTCCACTGCATAGCAGGCCACACTCGACAACGTGTTATAATGGATGTATTTTTTTAGGTTGTCTGATCACTTCCTTAACTGTGATCTAAATCATAGAAGCATTACTGTGATGGAACCCATTGATCTTTCTGTCACGATTGTAGTCCCTCCTCCTTAAGGGCGCTCCGGGTCTTCCTCATTTGCCTTATTTCCCACACCTGCCCCCTGTTCCAGTCTCCTTCCGTCCCCCTTTAAAAGCCAGACGCAGTTGCCAATCGAGGCTCTTCACTGATTTCCGCATCGTGCGAGCCCGGGACCAGGATTAAACTGGCTCCGTTATGCTTTTAACTTTCTGCTCCTGTTGCTGTTACCCCCGCCGGTCCCGACTCGGCACCTGGTTTTAATCTTTTGTTTGGATGGATCACCCGGCCATGGACTTTCGCTCAGTTTTGGATTTTCCTTTGGATTTCTTCTAGGATTCTTTGCCTCGGCCACAC